TCTTTAAAAATATATTACTAACATACCTACTTTAACTAGTTCTACTCCAGATTCTTACAATATTGATCATTTTCTTTCCTACTACTCAGACCGTTATAGGATTGGTTTTGTCGAAGCAGATACAAGCAAAGCATGAGTTCTTATTGCTTGTTTTAATCTACAACAATGTGAACTAGCAAAACAAAACCATCACTACATGCATGTACCTAAGTAACTACAAGTTGCAACTTGTTTATGTAGAAAATACTAGAGGTGGGAACCGAAACTTATTTTCTCAAGCCAAAAGGTTTCGGGTTTAGGCTATAACTTGCGAAACCCTAAACTGATTCCGAAATCCCAAACCAATATCTAAATCCCAAACCAATTCTAAATCCCAAACCAATACTGAAATCCCAAACCAATACCGAAATCCCAAACCAATACCGAAATCCTAAACCAATACTGAAATCCCAAACTAATGTCAAAACCCTAAACTAACATGATTTTCCCGAAACCTAAACAAACGCTGAAATCCTAAACTAGTCCCGAAATCCCAAACTAGTGACTAAACCCTAAATTAAACTGATTTTCCCGAAACCTAAACAAATTCCAAAATCCTAAACTGATACCGAAATCCTAAACTAATAAAAAAAAATTTAACCTAATGCCAGAATTCTAAATTATATATTTCAGTTTGTAAGTACTACCAAATAAAATAGATATTTTTCGACTTTACAGCTTTATAATTATAGAATGATATCCTTCTGATTGACTGGCTCAAATCAGTCATTATTTATACAGTTAAGTGAAATAAGATACTAAACAGTTAAAGAATGTCTAATTCTGCATTATTAGTTTTCTTTTATCATTAACTAGTTGCCTGTAAAAATAATCTTATTTTAAAAAAAAAGTAGCTTAAATGTTATTATAAACTGTATAAATAACTGAGCTGTTTGAATTAATTTGTGTCAGCTAATCAGAGAGATGTCTTTCTATGAACTTTATTAAACGATTTGGTATGTCAAATCACTGGTCAAAAACAAAAAATTTGACATATTATTCAACTGCCATTCGACCTACTATTCGATCATGTAATCTTACGGACATTCATGTCTGTAAGATCACATGATCGAATGGTAGGTCGAATGGCATTTGATATTAATATGTCGAATTTTTCAGTGTTACTGTTACTACATTCTGAACTAATTATCATATGGCTTGAGATGTTCAAATAGTTTGTGCAATATGAAAATGTAATAATTTTAATTAAGAAGTCAAAATAGCGTGATCAAAAATGATGTAATAATAATTTCAAAGTATATAACGATAAGGGCAAAAATAATAATATAAGTACTTCTGAAAAAATTAAGTATGCAGGTACTTATCGTTTGTGCCGATCGTTTAGTGACACTGTCACTAATTAACCCATGAGGGTAAATTAGATAATGTCGATATTAAAATAATTGGTGAAAAGGGACTTGACTTTATATTTTCTACAATCAGGTTGAATTTTATATACGAAGAATAAACTATCTTGTATCATTGCATTTAAAACCTTATCTGGCTCAAAAGAAAACTTTTTTGGCTTTTTGAAAAAAGTAAGTTAAATCGTTATGTTAACTATTGTACAGTTTATTGGACCATATTGAACTAATTCGTTTATAAATTCATTAAGTCTTACAATAATATAAAATGTAGATTATAGAATAATCTTTATATATATAGATTAACTCAAAAAACAGAAATAAATAAATATTTGATAGTACTTCAACATGCTGATAATGAAAGTCTTCTTAAGTTTTTAAGTGGCAGAACTATTTAAAGATATTTCAATTGATTTATAACGTAGGATATGTTCATGCTAACTTCCACAGTGTTAATGTTTTGCAAGATCAGACGATAGAGGCATTAGTAATCTAAAAAGTATGATGAAAATGTTTTGGATATTATGTAATGGAGTCATACCTTATATTGCTTTAGAAGTTTTGACAAGTCAAAAATTTACATCAGTGTTATGGCTTTGGAGTCATAATGTCAGAAAGTTCAACTGGACAAAACCTTTTTGATGAAGGTCTCGCGATTAATATTACTTGCGGCCTGAATTTTCTTCTCAGTAACTTAAATTTATAGTAATCTACTAAATAATCTCAAAACCTTACTCTTAAAAAATTAAACCAATTACCGGACTCAATCTCTATGAGTTGACCTACTCACGTCCATCAAGGTTCTAGTTAACCTACCCACATCTACTAGGGTTCTGGTTAACCTACCTACATCAACCCGGTTTGCTAAAACTTTTAACCCAGTTCACCAGCCTACTTGAGTCCCTTATTATCAATATATTATGATAAGCGACGCTATTTATTAAATATTAGGTATTTCTTAACTGTTAAGTATAATCAATTGATTAGAATGCAACTCCAATTTAATATAATACTCGTGATTTATATAGGTAAGCTATGTTAAAGTCGATCTTGTTTCATTAGAAAGTTCTATTTTTAAAACTGAACTCGATTTTTGTTAGAGTTAAAATTCTCGTCGATATTTGTACCTGTTTATTACAGGTATGTGTTGACACATATGTATTAATATCAAGAATATGGTAATTTTTTTTTAGCATAATTGAGTATACGTATAATATTTATTATTTATAATAATGGTAATGGTAATGATAAATTTTTAATTTTTACAGGTATTACGATTGTCAAAGCCAGTTTATATAGAGTGGTAAGTATATTAATTATAATGGATTTTATATATATAAAAATATGGTAATAATACTTTTTTGTTAATTTCAAACTTGTTCTTCAAACTAGTCATGGCTAGTTACCAAATTTGTGTATCTTGGTCATGTTCAAGTTAGTAAGACGTTGTATTTTATTCAATTTTAAATGTTTATATAAGTCTTTAATTGAAATAAATAACGAAATTTTTGTTATACTCTTAGATTCTTTTGAAAAGTCAAACCAATATGACAAGTCAGGATAGTGATATAGAGAACTTGGATCAAAATAACAAAAATTTGGGCGGAAGGCCGTGTGCACCAATTTGGAGTTTTTTTACAGAAGGTGAAGAAATAGATTCAGGCCATCGTTCAGTTACTTGTGAATGTGGTACTTTTTGGAAAAGAGGAAGACCCTCTACTTTAGAACGTCATATTTTAGTTGATTGTAAAAAAGTTAAACCACATGTTAAAGAAGCTATACGAAATATGGTAGAAACACGTGAAAAAGAATTAATTCAAACCACTCGTAAAAGGAAAGCAACTGAAGATCAACAAAGTCTTGATAGCTATTTTGAAAGTTTAGCATTAAGCAATAATCAAAAAGAAAGTATAGAAACTGCTCTTATTAAACTTTTTGTTTGTTGTGGACTTTCTTGGCAACTTGTAGAACATCCTTTTTTTATCGAATTTGTTTAACAGTTGCGATCAGCCTATTGTCCACCTACTCGTAGAACATTGGCTAGTACATTATTAGATAATGAAATTTTACGTGTCTATACAAAAATTTATAATATGTTAGAAAAGGAAAAAAATTTAACTCTGGGCAAGTAAAAATTTTTAAATATGCAGTAAAACTTAAATTATTATATTAATATCATTATCGTTATTATTTTTAGCTTTGGATGGTTGGACAAGCCCTGATGGAAAAGCATTATGGAATTTTATTATCCATACTAATAATGGTGATATTTTTTGGAAAATACTTGATTTTTCTAATCAAAGTCACATGGGCCAGTATCTTGCAGATCAAATTGAAACTATCCTAAATGATATTGGAAATCATAAGTTTTCTGCGATTGTAACTGATGCAGGGCCAAATGTTAATGTAGCATGACGAATTATAGTTCAAAAATTTCCACATATTTTTAATATTCAGTGTATTGCACATTGTCTTAATCTTATTACTAAAAACTTGCTTAAGCATACCTTTGCAACCCGAATTATGAATTGGTCAACTGTAATAACATCTTATTTTAATAAGAGTCATTTACCAAAAAATTTACTTGAATCTAAAATTAAAGAAAAAAATATTAAAGGTGGAGGTTTAAAGACATATGTTAATACGTGATGGACTACAGTATATGAAATGCTTCATTCGGTTTATCAGCTTGAATCATGTTTAAAAGAAGTATTTAATATTTTATATATTATAATTTATAATTTATAACTTATTTATAATTTAGTATACAAATGGTTAACTATTATTATTTTTAAAAGGTTATTACTGAAAATCCTGATATCGTAATTAATGAAGCAGTTCAAGCCATAATTTTGCGAAAACGAAGATTTTTTCAAGATGTTTACGATCTAATGAATATTATCAAACCTGTTAAAGATGCAATTATTTTTTTAGAAAAACAAGATGCAAATCTTGCTGATTGTTTTTTTGGACTTGCTCAATTAGGAGCAGCTATTAAAATGATATCAGAAGTTGAACATAAAATGTTTCGTTATCACTGTATAAAGGTTTTTAATTCTCGTTTTAAAGAATTTGATTTTGACGAGTATTTGCTTGCCTATTATTTACATCTGGGATATAGAGGAAAGTATAATCTAAAGAATTTTATTCTTTTTTCACATATGCGATATATCGCTACTTATAAGGTATAACGTAAAATCAAACCAAGGCAGGACAGGGCAAAGAAAAAGAAGTTTCTTACCTAAAATTTAACGAAGAATTTTTTTTTTGTTAAAATTTAAGAGGTGGTTTCATAGGCAATATTTCGAGTTACAACTGATTTTTTTAGTAACTGTTTCGATTTAATGTTACACCAGATTTTGCTAATTGGCCATCCAGAGTAGCGATACTATATACAGTTTTATTGCCATTACAAAATCCTAATTTAAATATTTATATTAAAATTTAAAATTGTTATAATTATTAAATTAAACAGGTATTAGTATTACAGATGGTCAATTTTTACGAATTAGCATTACAGCAGCTGCAGTATGGCAACAAATGATGAAAACTGGCCATATCATTAAAGTATTAAAATGAAACAAACACAACAAACGAACCGCAGGTCAGATTCTTATCGCACAGTTACGTGATTATCATGTTCGAAAATCACCTTATAATGCAACTTATATATCTAATGTTGATAGTCCCCAAATATGGTGGGAAACTTGTGAACCAAATTTGCCATATCTCCAGTTATTAGCTATCAAATTGTTTTCTGTTTCACCACATGCAGCCAATTGTGAATGTGTTTGGTCAACTTGTGGTTGGATTTATGGAAAAAGACGTATAAGTCTCTCAGTCAAAAATTTAGATGCAATTGCTCAAATCCGTTCATATTATATTGCTAATAGTAAATCTGAGCTGCCACATTATGGTATAGACAAATCTGCTGAAGACATTAAAAAGATATTATATAACACAGATCTTTATGAAGAAATTAATGATATTGCTCTTGAGCAAGCTATAATGAATGTTAATATTAATCAGTCTAGCATCGATAATGATTATGATATTATTTCGGAAGAGTTTTTTGAGTTAGAGGATGCATTAGATTTGTCAAATTTGACATTTCTACCAGAAGAAAGCAAACAAATTGATGCAGATATAGTTGATGATGATGCAGGATCAAGCGACTGGTTAGAAGAATTTAATCAAGAAGAAGATTATGATCCAGCCGAATTAGGAGAGATGTTTTTGAACTAGAACTAGATTTTTAAAACTTATAACGAAGTTTATATAGTAATTCTGCAAATTTAGACACCTTAGCCATTTATATCTTAGATTAGTTAAACGAAAAAATTAGATGCACTTTAGAAAGTTTTATTGATATGAATATCAAATTTTCTATTATCTTTTTTTTCTTGTACATACTGTTTTTGTACATGTTTTTTTCTAATATGTTTTTTTTTTCGCATATATTTCCATTATAATCAGTATATAATAAATCGGCTTCAATACTAATCTCAAATATTAAAAATTTTCAACGCAAAATTTATTTTATTACATTATCAGTTTATATTTCTAATTAACATAAATCAACTATTCTTATATTAGAAGCATTGGTATGTACATAATTTAAATTATACTAATACTTTCTGCATTTTTATTAATATAATTTATTTTTTATTTAAAAATAATTTAAATTGTATAGTTTCATATGATTGAGTTATTAAATTGAACATAACGATAAGTTACGATTTAGGCCAAAAACTATACTGAATTCAAAAAAATAGAATTTTTTATAAAAGGCAAGTATAATTAATGCTTAATTTATATTTTTTTATCTCTTACACTATCTTGTACATAGGCAAGTTTGTCTGCGAATTTTTATATAAATATACTTTTTTCAGTAGATCATATATTAATGATAATGTAAGGTATACAGCTTCATAAACAAATCGAATTATCTATTTGTAGACTTTTTACTAATATTATTTTTGGTAATAAATAGTCTTCTATGTATCTTCAGAAGCCATATGACTATTTTATGTGAAAAGTATAAAATACTAATGAGATTTAATATGAAATAATTACGCATAAAATGCATATGACTTTAATAACAGTTGAATAAGATTATTAGATATCTGCGTACAAGCAAATTAGCACACAATTACTGAATGGTATAAGGGATAACCTAGAATACTATATTTTTTTATATGTTCTAGTCGTACCCTAGATAAATAAAGAATATATACATAATGGAAGTTTGATTATCAGAAGTATGTTTGTAAATATCTGCATATAATATTCACTAGTATTATTATTAATTTTTACTCTCTTACAGGAAGATAAGAGATGGATTGTACAAATATTTGTTGCAAGAAGATGAACATGAAGCTGTAGCTAATTTACTAATATATCTTGAAAGTAAGATATATATAATTTTGCTTTAAAAATGATCTTACAGAATATAGTAATTACTATATTCTATAAGATCATTTTCAAAACAAAGATATATTTATTGATTTTATTTTTAATCAGATAGCATGTCTGCTTATTTTCTAAGTTTTAATATTTAATCGTTTATTTAGGTCCTTGTTGTTAAATCATTCCTATTCTACTACAATATTTAAAATGATCAATTTTTTTTTTTTTTTATAAACCTCAAGATAGCAATTATCTGGGGATATCAAATAACGTGATTTATTAAACTAGTTCATATATATAGTATTATAATATATATTTATCTGTCTGTACTATTTACATTATCTATAACTTTTAAAAAGTCTTTTTCTTTTTTCTTGAGAAAATGACTAGTCAGAGCCATTTCTATTTCTTTAGCAATCCTGATTTTCTATAAATACTGCATAGCCGTTTCTGGTATCGTACTGTTCCCCCACTTCTTGTCTGTGAACCAGATCCAAAATAATTAATTTTATTTTAGAAATGTTATAATTGTATAATATTCTCTAAGTTTGAATTAGCAACATAACCCTTTTTTTATTTTAATTTTTATAAGTAGTTAAAATTTATATTTTTTTAGTACAAATTTAATAATTTAAATTTAAAATTTTTAAATAAATTATATAATTATATTTTTATAACTACTTTGTAGTAAAACTAATATTTTTAGTTAGCAATTCGAATAGTTTTCATTGTAATGATATTAAAATAATGCTTAAAAAGATGTATCAGTATAATCAAAAAGAAATTCTGAATTAGCCTGATCTGTGTATAGAAAGAAGTATAAATAAAAATCAGAGAATAAGTATATAATTTGGGCTATATCGTATATGCATATTGAAATTAACCTAATTATGTACATTTATATTTAGCCTGTAGACTTTATATTGAAAATTGATCATTGAAATTACATAATTTCTAATATATGAGTACAAAATTTGCATAATATCCCTTAAACTGTAGACTTTTGTAGGTAAATTTGCTTGTAAAAATTTAACCAATCTATAGGAAAAGATTTTTTTGATTTGGAGATTATTAAAAATTATATTATAAGAATTCATAAAATTTAGTTCAATTATTTAAGATCACTTAAGTAATATTATGTAATTGCCAGGAATAAAATATGTAATAGATATTTCACGGCTGTTGTGAATATCATGAATTATTATAGCTACGCCATGATAAATTAATGATATTCATAGTATACTATGAAATATATTTATATTTCACAGTTCCAATACCCGTAACATTTTTGATTAAAATTTTTATGATGATGTAATACTCTGTGGAAAATTTTTAATATTTTCACAGCATTACATCATCATAAAAATAGTATCAGAAATGATTATGGGTGAATAATAGGAGCTGTGGAATATAAAAGTATAATAATTGCTTTTCTTAGTTATTTATAAATTGTTTATAAAACCTTTATGAAACTATCGTACATATTAAGTTTTTTACTGATTTTAATTATATATTAATTAGTTAATTGTTTTATTATGCTTATGAACTATTTTTTGTCTTTTAATAATATTATTATAATTCTGTGATCGAAATAATATGTTAATTGATAATTTTCTTAATAATTACTAAATTTCTATCAAAAATTTTCGCCTATATGCATACATTTTTTCTGATGTACAACTTAATTAAGTCATAAAATGCACTATTTAGAATTTGTCAGTTCTTTTCGATTAATTTTCAACTCTATGGCATATCTGGTAACAGCTTATAATTTGACTAAGCGATGTATGTACAAGACTTTTACAGAAGTTAATTTGCTAAACTAATAGGAATATAAAGACAAAGTGCTATTAAAAGTAGCTAAAAGTGGTATTAGTTAGAAGCTTTTTTGCAAGTAGTTTGACTATAAATCATGTCATATAGGCTTATATTATAAAAGTTGATTAAAAATTTGCAAGCAAATGTCAAAATTCCAAATCACGAAACAAAAATTTAATTCAACTGCTATTTGACTAATCATTTTATTATATGATCTTATGTATATCTATATTAGGCATTCAGAATTATAATGCAACAAATTATTCCTTAAACCATTTTGCAAGCAAATTTAAATTTTTAGAAAACTATTTTATTTAAAGTTTTAGTATTAGTTTGAGATTTTGCACAAGTTAGAATTTTTGCATTAGTTTGGGATTTTGACATTAGTTTGGGTTTCAGTAAAACTATCTTAGTTTAGGAGTTTGGTATTAGTTTGAGATTTCAATATAAGTTTGGAATTTCAGCATTAGTTTAGGTTTTTGTAAAACTATCTTGGTTTAGGGTTTTGGCATTGGTTTGGGATTTTAGCATTAGTTTAGGATTTGGGTTTTAGTTTAAGATTTAGAGTTTAGGATTTTGGCATTAGTTTGGGATTTTGGCATTAGTTTAGGATTTTAGCATTAGTTTGGGATTAGGGTTTTAGTTTAGGATTTAGGATTTGGGATTTTGGTAAAAAATTTCTAATCCGATACTAGCTAATACTATAACCTAAACCTAAAAAGTTTAGAAAGGTTTGAGTTTCAGTTTCTACCTTTAAAATTATTATCTTATTGTAGTAATTTAGAGTTCTCAAGTACTTTAGTTAATCAGTTAGAAAAGATATATTTACTGTTACTATTCTAATGAATAATATAAGACTACAAAAGTTTAATATCATAGAAAATCATATAGAAAAATTTAATTAATAGAAGTTCGTTTAGTCAATTTAAAGTATTTATCCTAATTAACAAGAGATAGATATTAAAATTTTTTATTAATAGATTATAAAAAATAATTGTTCAAACTTTATTCTTTTTTTTTTTTTTTTTTTTTTTTTTTTTACTTTATACAAATGCTATTGGTTTAACTTTATTAATTTTATAAATTTCAGAAGTGATACATATTGTAAGAGTATAACTAGCTATATATACAATTTTAGATTGTCTATTTTAAGTAGTTTGCTCAAAGATTCTACAATAGCTGCTATATCTAAAATCTCTTAGAAGATTCTCTATTTAAACTCTCTAGTTCTATCTTACTTACTACAAATATTACTCTTATAGTTAACTATAACCCTATGCTACTCTATTTTGAAAAGTATCTAAGCTAACATTAGTTGCAAACTTTACTATTATGAGCTCAAGTCTTATTCAGATAAGTCTTACTTCAATGCTCTCTTACTAGTCGAATAAATTTATACTAGTAACCTATCAGTATATCAATATTCTGATTTGAGTCTGATTTTAAACAGATATTTGGCTCGAATAGGATACCTTTTAGTAACAAATCAGATTTAAAAAAATTAATAGAGCTATCAGTATACTAATATAGCTATTATATAAATATTATAATAAACTGATATTTAAATGATAGTTATATCAGTATGCTAATAGCTCTATCAATATGCTGATAGCTCTATCAATTTTTTTAAATCTAATTTGTTACTAAAAAGTATCCTATTCAAGCCAAATATCTGTTTAAAATTAGTATCATATTAGGAATATTATTATACTGATAGATCATAATATTATACTAGTATAAATTCATTCAACCAGTATTTAACAGATAGATGTTATGATATCCAACTATACTATACTATATCTCAATCTAGTTTTTATATATCCTTATTCAATATTTGTATAAACCTAGTTCTAGCTATAGCTCTTTACTAGTTTAGACTTCTGTATTCTTCTGAATGTTTTATGAAGTAGATCCTTCTTATCTAATTAGCTGCTAAGTCAAATTGATAGTACTATAATATCTAATGTTATAGACTTACTTGCATCTACTCAATCTGTATTTTTATATTCAAAAATCTT